ACAGAATGTGCTCTCTCTGCTCTGGCTGACTACAGCTCCAGTTCACAAGCTCCCGTACACCTAGGACCACCCACTGAAAGTATTCTCATTAGCAGAGAAAGAGTGCATTGTATCTAGTGACCCAGATGCCGGCAGGAGGAAGAACAAGCAGAGCCTTTAGAACAATCAGGCATACCCTGATAGAATCCCCAAGCTCCCAAGATGAAAGTTTTGCAAGAAAAAGAAATGATCACTTATCTAGAAGCATCAGACTTCATATCAGTAACCCTGAAGCTTCATAGACAAGTGAGAAGAAATGTCTTTTAACTCAGAACTTATATTGTTATGTGCCCTTGAGTCAATTCTGACTCAGAGTGACCCTATAGGCTAGAGTGGGGCTGCATCCTAGGGTGACCAAGGCTTTGAGGGAGCAGACTGCCTTATCTTTCTTTAGAGTGGCCATACCATATCAATTTGTCTTCTACTTTTGAGAGTGAATGAAGGGTCATTATCACATGCTAGAATTCAGGGGCTCTCTTGCAGTCAGGGGCTCTCTTGTAGGTGCCTGATGTGAGAAAAATCCTAAAGAAAAGACTCCACTCACAATCCAAAGGAACCTGAACAGAGATAGAGGAAACAGAAAAGCAGCAGCAGCACAAGTAATCAATAATCCTTAGAAAAAAGGGACAGATATAGCTTCACTTCAGCCGGTGTTGATCAATGCCAGCCAGGGCTCTGTAACAGAAGTGCTGAACAAAATAATTAGGAGAAAAAAATTTCTTGAAAAAGAAGAGACATTCTGTAAGCAAAATTCTAATTATAGCCCAGCTAGAAGTATCGAGTTATTTTCGCAAAGCCTAGTCAGAGTGGGGAGGAGGACAAGAGAGAAAAGGAAAGTGAAAACCTTCCAAATCATTCCCGGTGGTTAAAGGGAGAACCAAGGTGGAAGTAAGCGGCATGGAAAACTCACCTTTGGAGGCCAGGGGTGGTGTGAGAGAGTCTCCACCTGTCAGGGAAGTTTTTGGGGATTTTTTTTTTATTTCCATTTTTTTTCTTATTGTGTACTATTGAGTCGGATCCGACTGGCAGAGGAGGCGATTACCCCTCCTTCTCTAGTGGAGCATCTGGTGGATTTGAACCATGTGCCTTTGAGATTTCAGCACAGCTCCTTGCCACTAGGCCACGAGAGCTCCAGGTCTTTTATTTTTGAGAGTAGCTCTGGTGGTCTAGTCCTTAAGGAGATGTGCTGTGAATCTGAAGGCCAGGTCTCTCTAACAATTCAAATCCCCAGTGGCTCCCTCAGAACAAAGATAACAGTGTCCTCACACACAATATATAGCCCCCCAATACCTGCTGGAGGGTCAGCTATGAGTGTGTTCTGACTTGATGGCAATGATTTTGAATTTTTTTTTTTAGTGATTTTAAAAGTTGTGCTTATGTATTGAGAATGGGAAGATAAGCATTCATGAAAACCAGGGTCCAAGAGTATTCCCCAGTTAACAAGGGGAGAAGGGGATGAATGGGAACCAGATCAAACCGGATTGTCTAAATAGGAGGAGAAATGAACCCAACACAGCAAAATGCCTTATAAACAGTGGGTGAGGTGAAGGGACACAAGAAAAACTACAGCGTGCACTGTAGCAATTGAGGCCAGTGTGTGGAGCCAGGCTCCCCAGCTTCAAATCCCAGCTCTGTCTTTTAATAACTGTGACTCTGAGTTACAGTCCACCATCTCCAAAATGATGGTAAAATAGTAGCATTTCCTTCACAGGATCTTGACAATTAAATGAGTTAGCATACTTAATGTGCATAGTACAGTTAGACCACACACACGGGGCCCACTCAATGGAAGGTAATAACAACAACCACTTTCACCTACTGCCATGGAGTCGATTCTAACTCATAAAGACCCTCCTTTGGGTTTCTGAGATTCCTTCAATGAGAGAAATCTGTCTTTCTCCTGAAGAATAGCTGGTGCGTTCAAACCATTGACCCTGTGCTAAGCAGCACTACTAGCCAGGACCTCTGGTGTTCTAGTATCTTCCTATTCATCTGAAAGTTGGACAGTGAATAAGAATGATGGAAGAATCGATGTCTCTGAATTGTTGTGTTGGAGAAGAGGACTGAGTATCTCATAGACTGCCAAAAGAACAGATATGTCTTGGAGAAAGGGCAACCAGCATGCTCCTTAGAGGCAAGAATGGTGAAGCTTTATCTCACATATGTTGGGCATGATGTTAGAAGGGGCCAGTCTTTTGAAAAGGACATCGTGCTTACAAAAATGGAGAGTCAGCAAAAGAGAGGAGGGCTCTCAACAAGATGGGTTGACACAGTGGGACCAAGTACATCAGATGGTGAGGATGGCACATGATAGGGCAGGGTTAAGGTTTCATGTTCACAGGGTTGCTATGAATTGTAGTCAACGTCATGGCACATAACAACGACAATGACAACAATAACGACGACGACGACAACAACAACAACAGTTTTCTTCCTTTTCCTCTTCTTTCTCAGAAGAGCCCAGAGTCTGGAACCACCTGGTCTGGCTTAAGTCCTGGTTGACCACTTACTTCCTGTATGACTTCAGGCACGCTATCTTGGCGCTTTGTGTCATTTTTCTCTGCTGTGACTTGAGGATCCAGAGAGTACCTCTCTGTGTGGATTTGGTGTATAGGAGCGTGCAGCACTGTGCCAGGCAAACACAGTACATGTTCAGTAAACGTTCCACTTGCCCTTACATCTTCATCCCCCTTTGAAGATCCCCTGAGATGTACTCTCCACAGGGCCATGCTTATGCTTATGTTTGGTCACCTGATCTTTGAGAAATTCCGATTTCATTTTCTATCTTTCTTGTGAGACACTGAGTTTTCAAGTTTATCAATAAGTACATTTTGTTCACTTTCTTTTGCATGCCCTTTTCATATTTTCCCTTGGGTATTTCTCTTCTAAAGGATTATAGATGTTAACTTCTTTCCCTGCCCCCTCACCAGACATCCTCCTAGCCTGCCTACGTGCTTTCTGCATGCACTACCTGAAAGTCCCCTTAGCTAAACAATGTTTCTCAGCCTAAGTCCTTTCCTCATTAACTTTTGTCATAGTTATCTAACTATATAATTATCTGCTATAGCAGAGATGCCAGGAGTGAATGGCAGATTCAATACAAACAAATTGAAAAGTATTCTCTTTCAGTATAAATGGCTAAAAGTTCAACTTTAAGGTGTCAGCTCTAGGAGAAGGCTTGCTCTGTCAGCTGTGGAGGGAAATCTATTCCTTCCTTCCTTCCTTCCTTCCTTCCTTCCTTCCTTCCTTCCTTCCTTCCTTCCTTCCTTCCTTCCTTCCTTCCTTTCCTTCCTTTCCTTCCTCCCTTCCTCCCCTCCTCCCTTCCTTCCCACCCCTTCCTTTCCCTCCCCTCCCTTCCCTTCCTTATGTTTCTTTCCTTTCTTATGTTTCTTTCTTTTTTTGTGTGTATCAGTTGACCAGATATTCCTTGTAGATCTCCATGTGTGCTGGCCTTCCTTGGTATTAAGGAGTTTCCTTATGGAAAGGCCTGGGGCTAAAAAGATGCAGGCCACTTCTTTCTTGATGGGCTGGAGCTACCTATTTTTGGCTTTATTTCCTCATCTTTTATCTCTAGAGATAAAAATGGTATCTCAGAGAAGTTTGGACATTTGCCCAGGATCACACAGCTAGAGGAACCATAATTTAAACCTATTTATCTGATTCCTCTTTTTCCTTTTGTTCTTAATATATTGTCCTGGGTGGCTGTAAAAAAGAGCAAGGTGTAGGGGAGCTCTGATGGACTAGTGGCAAGAAGCTGCACTGCAATCCCAGAGGCGCACGGTTCAAATCCACCAGATGCTCTGCCAGGAAAAGGAGGGACAATCTCCTCCTGTACCAGTCAGATCCGATTTGATGGTACACACACACGCACACACACACACACCAGTGTTACAAAGTTTTCAGTCCTGTGAGTTATGACCCTCCTCACCCTAGTTGTCCAATAAGCTTGGGCAAAGGCTCTTAACTCCAGTTCCAATGGTGTGGCAGTCTCAAAGTCCCATCTTACATCAGGTCTCTGGTTCTCTGTCTCATGTCAGGTCTTTGGTTCTCCATTGTGGTTTCCATAGCTGTTGGTCCTTTAGGTCCTCTTTCTTGCTCTTTTCTTGGTGGTGAGATTTTCTTTCTTTCTGATGTTGAATCTATTTAATTTAATGGTGAGACTAACCAATCTCCTTTTAAATAGACTAACACACCCTATTTCCATGTCCCAACCCATCTACATGGCAAAGTCAGATTCAATGGCTAGGAAAGTTATATTGAAAGATAAACTCCATGGTGGGAAAATGGTTTAATACTTGACTCTTTATCTGAAAGATTGGTGGTTCAAACCCGCCCAGAGATGACTTGGAAGACAAGGCCTAAGGAGCTGCTTTGAGAAGGTCATAACCTCAAAAACCCTGTGGTATAAGTCTACTGTTCTTATTATGTACCCTGAAGTTGGAAACAAGCCATAGCTGACCCTCCAGAGGCAGTAAATTGCTTGGGAGGAAATAGTTCATCTTTCTCCCTTGGAGCAGCTGGTGGATTTGAACACTGTGCCTTTGGGTTGGCAGCACAGCTCTTTACAATTAGGCCTACATGAACTGAGTCAAAATTGACTCAATAACAACAGCAGTAACTTTAGGGATTATTTACTGAAAATGATGACTTTTTAAATGCCTGGAGTTGTAGAAAGAGCTCTGAGCTACTATCTGGAGTCCAGGGCCTCAGTCTAGGCTTTGCTTCTTTGACAGCTCAGCCTTCATACAGTATTTCAGTATTTCCACTGCAAAGTAAAAGGACTTAGTTTGTGAGGACCTTTAAGTTCACCCTCTCTTTCTAGGCCCCCTGGTTCTTTGTATATGTGAATTCTGAGGAAATAATAAAATGGAGTCTCTTACTTTGAAAAATGAGAAAAACTTAAAAAAAATACTTTTTGTGACAACATGTCCATTGTCTTTTTGTGTTTTTATACTGCCAAGGTACTCCAGGAGCAGATCCGGGCCCGGGACAACATTAGCTACGGAACTAATTCTGCCTTAAAGACCCTGGAGATGCGGCAGCTCTCCGGCTTGGGGGATCTCCGGGGAAGAGTGGCAAGGTGGGTGTTCACTTGCTGGGGAAGTGCACAAAGGCTTTCTCATAAACCGCTTTAATAGAGAATATATTCATTTTGGACACGTTAGGAAGGACCAATCCTTGGAAAAAGACATCATACATGGAAAAACAGAGAATCAATGAAAGAGGAAAACTCTCAACAAGATGGTTTGACACAGTGATTGTAAGAATGGGCTTAAGGTTATCAGAGATGATGTGGATGGCACAACATAGGGCAAGGTTTCCATCTGCTGTTGATGGAGTTGCTGTGGATTGTGATTGTGGTGAACTCTACAACACCTAACAATAACACATTCATGAAACTACAAGAAAGTTCTTTGCATTCTTCCAGTATGTTCCCTCCTTTGTCTGTAGAGCCTAGTGCTAAGAGGTTAGCTAAGTCTGATTATGCGCATACCGCAGTTTCTTGTGTTTCTGCAGTTTAATTTGTTTTTATGGAAGGAAATGTTGGAGCACTCAACTGATATATGTTAATTTCACAGGGTAATATTATGCCTCTTGTCCTTAATAATATAAATTTGAGGCTTATGTTTTACATGTTTTTTGTTATTTCTGAAAAATAAAATTTTGCTGATATTTTATTGTCCATGCTAGATCAGAGAAATATTAAAAACAGGTCTTTCAGCTCAAGTTTGAGAAGTGCAGTTCATGTCCCTCACAATTCAAGGTATGAAGAGTCTCAGGTCAGCAGCATACCATCACCCCTTCATGGCCCTTCCCCACCCCCAAAACAAAAAGAAACCAGTTGTAGAGTCAAGGCAGACTCCTGGTGACCAATGAGCTGCAGAGTAGAACTGCTTCAGGCTGTATAGTTTTGGAAGCAGATTGCCAGCACTTTCTTCTGAGGTATTTGTTTAGGTTCAAATGACCAGGCTTTCATTAGTAGTAGTCAAGCTCTGAGCCCTTTTGTATCACTGAGTGACTCCTGGAAATTTAAAAAAACTAGTCTTTACTTAGAAATGCGTATCTCCCATTAACAAACGAATGGGTAGAGAAGCTGTGATATATTCACACAACGGAATACTACGCTGCATTGAAAAACAAGGAACTCATTCAATATTATTCAAAATGGGTGACCCTGGAGGACATTATGCTGAGTGAAATATCTCAGTCGCAAAAGGACAAATATTGCATGGTGCCACTGTTGTAGAATGGGACTGATATCAGTGTTGGGGTAAGACTGAGAAAAACTGGATAAATTGTGTATACTGCACTGAAACAGATGAAGGACTGAATAATTTAAAAGCGATGTATAATAGGGTATTATGGTTATCACAAGAGTCCACAATTAAGGTTGCCTAGTGGAATGTACTTGGGGCGGTGGGAGGGGTGCGGGGGGATTGTGTACCAGGGAGGGAGTCTTTCTTTTACTTTCGAAAGAGAGGAGTGAACTGGGGGGTGGTGGGGAGAGGGCTGGGCAGGGAGAGAAGTGCAGCAATGAATGAATGGAAATCCAAATTCTCTGTAAATGTTCATTAAAATTATTAAAAAAAATAAAATTAATAAAAAAAGAAATTCGTATCTAGACACCACCACTCACTCCCCCACTCACTCATTGGCATTGAGTTGGAACTTACCCCTGGCTGTCCCTCTAGTGGGTTTTCGGAAGCTATAAATCACACTGGAAGAAATTGTCCATCTTTCTCTTGGGGAGCTGGATTTGAACCAGCAGAGAGGCACTGCTTTTGAATAATCAGCACAGCTTCCTGTGGACTATGCCGTCAGAGTTCCTGTGGCAAACTGCTGATTAAAATCTGTAATGTAGCAGAGCTCTTGGTTTTCTGTGCATGTTAATGTCTGAGAAGCCCTTGCTCAAAGGCAGTCTAGGATTTGATGTGGCTGGGATACTACTGTCCAAACTATTTGTGGACGTCTTCTGCCCTCTGCTGTTCTTGAAAATCACACTTAAGAATGTGACTCTGAAAAAAAAAAAAAAAAAGAATGTGACTCTGAATAGGAACAGCTGAGCAAATAGGTGGGTTCAGGTCAACCTGAGGTCAAAAGCAAGGTAGTCTGTGATGGTGAGAGCAGAATGAAGAACAGGGACCCACAGGGTCTGTGCCTCTCTAGAGCCTTGGAGAGAGGCTTTAAGGGATACAGTGCATTTGTAGAGACAAAGTATGAAGGTCATTGAAATCTGGGCATGTGCATTTGGATCTGCTGGGTAAAAATTCAATAATAGTGGAATGCTGTGTGGATTGAGTGGAGGACTAGCTGGCTCCATTCTGTCCATGCATTTTTATCCTCATCAGGCTGAACTCTAATTAGTATGACCCTTGTCCATTGCCCATGAACATTCTCCTGGCATTTGCAGCCACCTCCTCACCTCTCTTTACCTTTGTACTGTGCCTTTCAACCATCGTCACATATTTGTTACTCCCCAATGAGCCATGCTCTTCTATCTCTTTGCCCTTACACATGTTGGTCTTATGGCTAAATACTTTCCCTGCTGTTTTACTAACTTCTAAACCAGTTGTCATGGAGCAGATTGTGACTCAGGGCATCCCCATGCATGTCAGAATAGAACAAAGCTCCATAGTGTCTTCATTGACTGATTTGGGAGAAGCAGAATACCAGATTTTTATACTTAGGCACCTCTGAGTAGAGAAGCAGGTTAACTGTTTGCACAGCCTTTAAAGTTCAACTTAAGTGTGATCTCCTCTTTAATGAGACCCAACCTCTCTAAGCTTCACCAGCATTATGGAACTATGCCCAATGGGACCTCCTAGTTGTCTTCTCCATACTATTGTCTGCATTGTTTTGAATGGGAAATACATATTTTCTTTCTGTGGTTTGAGTCCCTGAAATGGGCTTTGGAAACCAGTAGGTGCTCAGTAAATATTTGGGTTAATTAATAATCTAGAAAACCACTATACTGAAAAAAAAACTTGCATCTATATTATTTGTGACATTTGGCTTAAAAGAAATCACAGCTCTGTTCTAATCCTCTGGGAGACATGGTAGCATTAAGGATAAACGCTCAGCAGCTAAACAATGTTTGGTAGGTCTTCAAACTTAAGCTGGAGCTTTGTGAGAGAAAGACCTGCCAGTCTGCTTCTGTACAGGTAACAGCCAACACGTAGTCACTGTGACTCAGAATCCACTCCATAGCACTCAACAATAACAACGTCATAACTCTCAGAACAGGGAGACCTTAGAAGAATGTCATAGCTACAGACCTGAACAGGGCCACTGCAGGACTTTGAAGATCTTCATAGAGATCTTCATAGCCACTTAAGTTGCAGATAAAAACTAACTGAGATGTAACATACGTCAGAGGTTTAATACAAAGCGTGTGATACAGAGAGAATGCAGTAAAGTTATTTTTATTTCAGACAAAAGATAAGAACATGGAATTTCCTCATGATACTAGTTCTAATTACAGAATGAAATTATTTTTAAATACTTTCAGGAATGTCAATTTTTCCTTTGCACTTCCTTATCTGCTTTACCCAACGTGTTCCTCGCTTGTAACAAATACTTTTGATCTAACACCATCAAAAATATTTGCTATGAGCACTTCATCTTTTTGCTTTTTTTATAAATATATTCCTCTTTTCTCTAGAATGCTAAACTCTGATTGTTGAAACTCATCCCAACAAAATTTGGTAGCTCTTGGCTTTCTTGTATTAATAATATAATTATGTTGAGGATTGTAAACTTTTAAAGTGGTAATTATGTTACTAAGGTGATGCGTTATTTAATGTTTCATTTTCTAGTTTTCATGAGTGTATTAGTAGTATAAAACCAAACCAAACCAAACCTGTTGTCAAGTCACTTTCAACTCATAGCAATTCTAAAGGCCAGGGTAGAAATGCCACACAGGATTTTCAAGGATATCATCTTTACAGAAGCACATTGCTGTGTCTTTTTCTGACAGAGAAGCTGATATATTCAAATAGTTGACCTTTCTGTTGGCAGCCAAGCACCTAACTACAGTGTCACCAGTGCCCCCTGGTGTTGATATTATTGATAAGAATTCAGGTCTTAACACTTACCCTGAGTGAGATACAGCTCAGAAGAGCAAAAGGAAGTTCTTCTCAAAGACGGGAGACACACATTCAAAATGACCTTCCCAAATTCAAACCCAATGCTGTCAAGCCAATTACAAGCTCTGGGGGCCTAGTGGTTAAGGAGTTGTGTTATCAACCAAAACCATGTGGTTTGAATTCACAAGCTTCTCTGTAGAAGAAAGACGGGCGCTCTCCTCCTGTGCATTTTACAGCCTCTGAAAACCTGCTGAGGGGTCAACTGGAGGGTCAACTTTCTGGAATTCTCAAGAAAGATGTGTTGTGTATTCTGATTTGATGGCATATGACAAGATGCAGCCTTTTATTCTTTATATGTCTGTTTGTCTTATTTGAGTGAAAGTTGCCTAAACCAATACAGACAGAAGTAGAAAATTATAACAGATTTATTAATAAAAAAAAGAAAGAAAAGAAATTGAACAGGTCATTCAAACACTTCCAACCAAGAATTTGTGAAACACTCCAAGTGACTCTTTAGGACAGAGTCAAACTAGCTCATACAGTTTGCAAGGCTGTAAATCCTTTTGGAAGCAGACTGCCTGATCTTTCTCCTGTGGAATATCTTGCGATTGAAAACTCCAGTTAAATGCTGTGCCACAGGAGGGCTCCTTCCTTCATCCTGCCCTGGTTGTTACCCTTCATACAACAGACTGAAGCTCTGCCTGATCCCATATTATCCTCACAATCTTTTTTGTACCTAAATCTATTGTTATGGTCTCTGTGTTGGTACTTCTCATTGAAAGTCTTCCTCAACCGTAAATGGAACTTTCTGAGAGAGTCTCCTACTGCTTCTGTGAAGTACAGGGAGTCTAGCTTTCTTAATACAGGCTCACTTGTTGTGTACCACAGAGTTGGAACTGACCCATAGCTGACCCTGTGGAGGGTTTTCAGAGGCCACTTAATTGCAGGGAAGGAGAATGCCCATCCTTCTCCCACAGAGCAGCTGGTGGCCTCA